AAAACGAATCTGTTCCCTTTGATTTTACGTTCTCATCACTCTTATCTGAAGAACACGTATAGATTAGCAATGATGACGCGTATGCTGCGATATGATAGAATGCAAATTTGAGTATTGTATGCTAAAAGCTGTTGTTTTTATGGTTTTGTGCAAAATTTCGGTGAAAACAAATGTACATAGAGATAACGCGTTTATTATTATTATTATTATTATACTCATGGAAAAATTTTGTCGAAGTTTCACGATATTGAGATCATGCAGTTGAAACATCAAATGCGTGGTCACGTGTGAACTTTCTATAATTTCACACGCGTTCACAAGCGAGAATTTCTTTTCACGTGCCATTTTACGGCTTTCACTAGTGACTACGTGCGAAAAATATGACGCGAAAAGTTTCCGTGAGCAGTTCATGCGTTGTGACAAGTGAAATATATTTTTTACACGTGCCACACACCGTGTTACGATGTTCATGTGCGACCTTAGTTCATTTCACGATATTGAATTTTGGATGTTTTTCCCATGAGTAATATCAAAAAAATTAACTAAAAATTATATAGTCAACCACAAAAATAGTCTGTAAACAAGTTTGTGATATCTATAGATATCACAAACTTGTCGACTATAGTCTACTCGCTCTTTTGACTCTTGGATTTGAGTTCTTCAAATTTTCATCAATACCATTTTGAGAAGATTGATCTCGTCTTGAGGGAGTATTTGACGGATGCACACACTACCACCTCATTTGTATTCATCAACGATATATTGTGTTAGAAAAGGCTTGACACGTTCAACTCTTTCTCCCAATAGACAAGGTGAGACATATTGCGCAGAAAATCGAATAAATAAACAGAAAATATCCATGAAAATTTCCTTTCATCGTGTTAACCATTTCCGATTCCGTTCAGTAACATTAATTTTCAATATATTCACGCAGTCAATTAATTTTCTAACGTATTTGCAAAATGCATTCAATTTTGCATTCTAGAACTAAATTAGGAAATCGTTAACGCGTATACAAACATAAAACAGACCAATATAATGCGTTAAACTTTTAAGGAAGGGCAGATTCCCACAAAAGGTACTCTTAAATCTTCTCAGATTGTATACTTGATTACATATATCCCGAATTGTTTTCGGAGAGCTGATAAGTATTCGCAGTGACATAAATTAATTGAGATAAAATTTTAGTAAAGAAATAAAACTGTTGACGAGGGAACCGTTCCAAGTGATTCACCTCGATTTATTCAAAATATATTTTTTCATGGATTATTTTTGATGCCGATTACGAATCTGATGTTCATTTTGGCCTATATAACTTTCTAGTATGGATCTCCAGCAACCAGGTCTCTGGAGATCCACTCCGGATAGTTGAACGAAGAGATTCGGATATAGTCAGTTTGTAGAGCAAATCAAGTTACACAGGTACACAAGTTTTCAGACATACCAAACACGTTCTCTCAGAGATGCAAAATTTTTACCTTCATCGCCCGTGCAAATTATAGACATTGTAGTTTTTCTTACATTAAAAATTTTATATTTCTGAGAAAACTTGTGTACCTATGTAACTTGATTTGCTCTACAAACTGGCCATATCCGAATCTCTTCGTTCAACTATCCGGAGTGGATCTTCAGAGACCTGGTTGCTGGAGATCCATACTAGAAAGTTATATAGGCCAAAATGAATATCAGATTCGTAATCGGCATCAAAAATAATCCATGAAAAAATATGTTTTGAATAAATCGGGGTGAATCACTTGGAACGGTTTCCTCGTGAGTCTATTTTTAAAAACTTAACAGTTTAATCAAAACTAATTATACAAATGTGCGTCTAGTGCACTTAGATCGAGAATCATTTTTAGTTATGATCACATTTAAGATACTTCAGAAAAAAACTATACCAGGATATAGATTAACAATTAATTAGGCTTGATTAACGATAATCATGGACAGTTCAGTGATTTACATTTTTATTTGCAAATCAGCAGTTGTTTGAAAATAGTAACACACTGGAAAAACTTAGTATCCCATTTGACATTTAAGGAGAGTTTTGTCAGCAAAACATTTTCCCATCGTGCTTCATTGAGCCAAAATCTGTGGCAAGGATCTTATAAAATACTAGTTTCCTTAAAAAAAAAACATTTCAAGAAAAAACAGGAGGGCTCCGGGGGGGGGGGGGGGGGGGGGGGGGGGGGGGGGGGGGGGGGGGGGGGGGGGGGGGGGGGGGGGGGGGGGGGGGGGGGGGGGGGGGGGGGGGGGGGGGGGGGGGGGGGGGGGGGGGNCCCCCAAAAAACTACCCCCCCCGCCCCCCACCCCCCCAAACCCGGCCCCCCCCCCCAAAAAAAACAACCTCACCAAAAAAAAAAAACCCCACCCCCAAAAAACCCCCCCCCCCCCCCCCCCCCCCCCCTCATTACATCTGTCTGACGTAAAAAGGTGTGAAAATTTTCAAGTCGTTCAAATGCGTTAGTTAGTAAAGCATTTTAAGTGTTAAATTTGTAAAAATATATAAGAAAAATTAATAAATTCAATGCTGGTAAATACATTAGCTTTTAAGATATTCAAACTCGTTTAAATTTTTTTTTGTTCATTCAATGCATTCAAACATATTAAATCGATAGAAAAATTTCGATTTTAACCCATTCAAAAAGACTATTTTTAGTACCAACAAAATTCGATAGGTAAACATTGATATAAGAAGCAGGAGTGTTTTTCGCCGTATAATAGTTTGTTTGTTAGTTTTATATGAATTAAAGTATAGTACATTTTCTTTTATCACTTGAGAATAATAGTGATACATGCAAAAAAAAAAGAGCTTAAGAGATGAATAAATCTTTTGTTGTAGGTGAATATGAATTTAGCATAGTTATTATGAAAATGATCGAAAAACTATTTGTCGGTCATTGAGATGATCAGACATGCAGCAAATTGATATAATGAACTTCACTTAGAAGTAAAATCGAAGGAAAAAGTCATATATTCATCAAATACACAAATTTAGGATAAGGTGAAATATAACAGCAGCCGATTTGAATAAAGTAGTTTTATTTTACAATTTTTTTATCTCAAATCGATTATTTTTATTACAAAAACAAATTCAAAAATTCTGGATTAAAATTTTATACTAAAGATCCTAACTGGTACAGTAGAATAACTAACATTATTTTGCATATTTCAAAAGAGATATGTAAATCATTTCATGTTCAGACTATGGACAATAAAATCAGTCTTTTTTCCGTATAATAGATATTTTTTTTAAACTTTTAATCAAAATACGAACATTTTCTTTTATAAAGATTTTTATAAACAAAAAGTTACCCTTCTTATAATTCCCAATATGGGAAAATGAGAAACAGATGCAAATGTGTCTACGTACAAAGAGCTCATAAATGCTCAGAAAAACAACAGTACACACATGTACGTAAACAAACAAATTAACAAGACATTTCGGACATAGTAGTGTTTAAAAAGAAAAAGATAACAGAATACACATACTTATTATTCGAATATGAAAAGACAAAACAAATATAACAAAGAGTACGTTACAATCTTATAAGAACTATTATAATAGAGATGATTCATTCGCCCTAAGTCAGAGACCAACAAAAGAACGACTAGATATTTCCACGGATATATCATTTAATTTTAGTTTCTATGGTTGAGGGTCAAAAGAATTAAAATTGCATAGCAAATAAACACATCTACGATCTCTATACATGTCATGGTGCTCATTTGTAGAGAAAAATAGCACCGATGTTGATATTGATGTTCCAGATCATTTTAGTATGAACATTTTTTTTTTCTCAATTAAAGATGTATGTTCGCCGGTTTGTTAATATCACACGAATATGCATTTATTAATACTATAAAAGAAAACTTCAATTTCAATTGTTAACTATCAGGACATAACGACAACTGCCAACAATACGGTGACATCATCGGGTTTTCCTCCTTAAAAAAAAGCGAATAGTGAATGAAATTAATCAACAATTGATACAATTTTATACCTGTAATATTAATGCCTAATGATCGACGAGCACTACGTGCAAACGGTGACATATAATGTGGATCAAAACCATTTTCTAATGCTCGTTTTGCTATTGCATGTGCAGCTTTTTGTATGTTTTCTAAGTTTGGAGTCTAAAAATACAGCAAAAAAACAAAATAATATCAAAAATGATCTCTTTTTTTTTTCTCTCTAGAGAATAACGTTTGTGCATAATACTCTAATTCTAAAAACTAAAATAAACCATTATATATCTTACAAAAGCACAAAAGAAAAAATAATTTTTTTTTACACATTTTTTTTCCTTTTATTTCTTTTTCATGATGAATACATAGTAGTAACTCAACAAAAATGACATTCAAAATATACTATCTAATACGAACGAACATCTTTCATTATGTCAATCAATCTGAAAAAAACCTCAATCTATTGTATTATTCCGACATATTTAAGCAAACACTAATGTATAAAGATTAGGATCATGATGATTATTAGTATAATATTAACAACCTCAAACAAAAAAAAATATATCACCTTCTTATTTATTAGTTGTAGTTTTAGATCCACTCATCAACCAGGGAAAGTACTATAACTAAGAATAACAGAAAAAAAAAGTTTGGCTCTTTTTTCCTTTCTATTAAGGACTAAAACAGAAATAACCAAGAGGAAAAAGGATGAGAAATTCTCATTGACTCTGAGGTACGTCGTCGTTTATTTTTTTAGATAAATACACGTTTTATGCATTTTCCCCATATGAATAAATGTCGACATATAGAAACAAATTTTCATAAATATTTACACCAAGATTTGTGAATTATTTCATATAGTTATAGTTAAAGTACATCAGGGTGAGAATACTAATCTTAATAGCTATTAAACTTATGTTGATTAGATATTATAAAAATAACGGTTCAAAAGTAGTTAATGATTTGTTTATCGAACTAAAGTTTTGTAATCAACCTGTTTTCTCTTTTATTTAGGTGTGAAAATCAGTACCATGTCCATTGTTATACCACATTGGTTAAGAGCAGCACTGATTGGTGCTGCACCAATGCTCGGCATTGTATTTTTAATATTATTTGTATTTACAATTTTGGGTCTTGTACAACGTCTTAAAACAATTATAACAAGAACGTGTATAAATTTTAAAAAGCAGAGATCACATTCACTAGCTTCAAATGGAAATAAGGGTGTTACTATTCGAATAACAGACGATAAAACAAATAACATTCAAACAGTTATAAATAAAGATGATGATGATAGTAATCATGAAGAATATCAACAACAATTATTACTTAATGAACAATCAAATCCAATTAATTATGATCATTTAAATTCTATACCAATGATAGATATAGATAGATCATTACAGAAATTACAAGAAATAAACACAAATGAAGATGATAAATCATCAGTTATTCAATTAAAAATTCGTTCATCAAAAAGTGATGGAAAATTAAACGAAAGTATACATAGTCATGCCTGAATAAAAACAATCTGAATTGATCTTATTCCCCTTTAAATTACTACTACTACTCAAGAAATGCACTGGTTTTGACATTTTATCATCCCACTATTTACTATCCATCAACACTCCTCTATCTTTTTCTCTGTTGGACATAATGAAGATATTGAGTATTCTACCAAAGTATGCTCTGCTTAGATTAACAATACTAACCAAATTTACATATTTTCATTGAGAAAATCCACCTTTACTTTAAAGTCATAACTTTGTCTAAAATTTTACACAAAAATTCGAGAAATTTCGTTTTATGCTGACCTAACAGCTTTTGATTGAATCGCACATTTTAATCCAATATTTCTCGTAATAGATGGATAAAATAGCTAGGCATAAGTTTAAGCAGAAAAAAAGCTAACGTTACTGTTCTTTTCGTCATAACGTGAGACTGTTTGAAGCGAGTAGATACGCCTTAGTTATAAGCTATGTCTAGAGGATGGTTTTTATACTGGTAGTTTATCACTTCCCTCCTACCACTACTTGAATTTAGGGGCATCTATTGATTAACAGCGAAGCACATCTTTTTTTTTAGTAGTAGTGGGAAAGTGAAACGTTTTATTTTTTTATTAGGAAGAGGAACAAGTCACTATAAATTAGTTAACTATTTTTTCTTAATCTATTTAGATAGAAGTTCAAAACCACACCATCATAGTGTAGGAAGTGTTACTGATCAACATAATGGTGATGATGATGAAGATGATGATGAAAGTAATTTATGCGGTGTAACTAGTGATTCATTAAATGATTCAATCTATGATAATTATGAACAATCATCAAGTATTTTTGACGATAATAATTATGATCAAACAAAAACGGCTCTTATAAAAAATAATAGTAAAAATAAAAAACAACGCAAGCAACAAGCTCGAAATCATGATTCAATTGTTCGATTATGACTTACTTTGATTTTAGTAATTTCATTTAATATTGCTGTATCAGGCAAATTATCCCATACACCATCAGTACCAACAAGAATAAAATCATTTTCTTTTACATCAAATGAACTAACAGATGCCAAATCAGGACTAAAATACAAAAGAAAAATGGCATCATTTTGCTGACGAATAGTTTTTTAACAAAAACTAACAAAAGATGAATACGTTCGCTTATACACGATAAAAATGAGAAAAAAAAGCAAATTTGGCACATTAGCAAGATGACTCATCATTTTTACCTCAGATAATTATTTTTTAGATTTTGATTTTCCTACAATATTAATTTATACACCTCTTTTTCTATTTATGTCTAATATATAATGCTCAATTGTTGTTTTTTTGTTTTTACCTGTCAGCTATCAATAAAGGATCTGATAATGTTGGATGAATAGCAAGTTGAAATGGAGAGTTAAAATAATGTTGTTGTTCTTGTGAACGATGGACAATTTGATTTTTACGTATGATAACAAAACCACTATCGCCCAGATTAGCTGTATGTAAGATACTTTTTTCTTTGTGTAATGCAACAATACAAGCTGTACTACTTCCTAAATAGAAACAAACAATAACAATAAACATAGATGTTAAGTATACGTAATTAATAAAAATATTTATGAAAAATAACTAAGAAAATCAAGAAGTAAGGTAGTAACTACTAACAACTTGTAACAATAATGAACTAGTTTAATTGAAACAGCAATAAAAAATGATTTGAGAATTGATAATTATCAATCATAACAATAGAATTTTGTACTACATACCGACAATACATTGTTTATTTTCAAGCAATTGTTTATAACCCATTGATAGAAGTTCTTTCAATGTTAATGGTCCTAAATCAATTAATTTTTTATCAATTAATGTTTTACATGCATCCATTAGTGAGCTAGAAAATATTGATGGATCAATTCCATGTTCTCTCCATCCGCCTACACCATCGGCTACGCCTATAAGTATAATAAAATATCACAATTATTCTAATTATATATGAGAAAATGTTTAACAAATAACCAACCTAAGAAATCACCAATTCGATGTTTTGTAATAAAGAATGCATCATCACCATAGACATCTAAACGCTTTAAATCTTTTGTTGATTCATTTGTTATTGTATCTATTGTATGATGTCCTGAGTAACCGGATGATGCTGTGACTAGATGAACACAACCACGTTTAATGCCTGTCAATGAGGCAATTCGTTGTGGTTGAACATAATGTAACGATGATTGAGTAGATAAACGTAATATACTATTATAAAGAACAGTTTCAGCTTCTGTACCAGTAATAGCTCTCGCCACTAATCTAGCATAAATTGCTAGCGATTGCATTGGTTGTTGTTATCAATTGAGATTTTATATAATTGAATAATAATAATAATAATAATAATAACAATAAACTCGATGATACCACAATAAATTTTTTTTAGACAATTTTATAGGTTTAAACAATTGTGCGTAGTAGTACAGTTGAAGTTAATATAAAGTTGTTAAAGGGTATCTGTAAGAAATAAAAATGTCATTAATATAAAATCTTTCGATTTATTTTCTCAATTATCGGTAGCAATCTTATTCTTCACTCATCATACATTGGTGGTTACACTATCATTTTTATTTTAAAAAAAAATAAGAAAATTAATTTCATTACTTACTTTTTAAACGAAAACTTTCCTTTTCTTTTTCTACAGAATAGTTCAAGTGGATGTTGAGAGTGAATAAGTGAATATATAGGTACTCATGATTTTCGTTGATGTAAAACAATGTGTATAATTTATAGAATGAAAGTATATTCATGAAAGAAAGAGCAAAACAACCTTGATTTTAATGGTATGATGAAAGTATACGATTGGATTATCTTTTCTAACTGAAAAATTCATGTTTTTCGTTCAGACAGAATCAGTTTCAGTTCAATAAAAAAAAAAAAAAAGAAAAAAGAAAACACGTTTTGGCATTATTTAATATAAACACTAATGATAATGATGAAATAAAATGTAACCGATAATATTCTCTAGTTACGGATCAAAGAACAAACAATTACATGTCAAATAATGTGTTCAATTCACATCAAACAACAATAGATATAAAATAAGTCTATGCTTCGACGTCGGCAAGTATCAATGATTCATTTTTCCTAATAAAAAATATGTTTTTTTTTTTTTGCATCGTCAGTAATTAGATGCCATAGCAAAACGATGAAAACAATTTTCGATTTAACCTATCGTTTCAGTTCATTTAACATTGTAAAGAAAATTGTCCATACCAGAACGAATAATATTAGATAAAAATCAGTTTATATTTTTGAAATGAGTAAGAAGAATCGACTAACCTAAAGTCACATTCTTATAACTAATAAATCCTATGTAACTCAATAATGTTTTAACTTCTCAAAATTAAGGTAACTTAATCTTATTGGACAGTTAAAAGATGTGTTGAATTTTAGTCCCCTATTCATGTTTAAATGTGAAAAATTAACATTGTCCAAATGATATAAATATGTTTTCTATTATAGAAGGTGAATTTTATCTACTCTTGGTTAAAAACAAAAATATTAAAGTTACGGATCATGGAGTTATTCTGTATATATTTCTCATGTGCATCTCATCTATTTGAGACACAACATGCTATCGTCAACAATATAGACGATATATATATATATATATATTATAAGAAACAGCTGTACATACATACACATGTTAACACACAATTTTAGGAATAATTGACAGTATTATGTACTCTATACTAAAATTTTGATAAGAAAGTATACATGTAAATTCTTGAGTATCACTGTTATTCTGTCAGTCTAATTTCTTTTCACACTCGCTCATGTATTTCATCAAAAATGTTTAGTTATAATTCTTATTATTTAAAAGTTTACTTACCTAGTTAAAATCGACGTGTTTCTAAATGACTAGATGGAATCACCAATATCAACTATAGATTAAAATGGTTTCTATCTATTCATACAGTCATCTGAAATAATCACAATTATCATAGTATCATCGTAGTCAAAGATCTGTTAGCGAGTAACAAGAACAAAGAATGATAGATAATTTCTAGTCGATAACGGTAAGACTGATAGATTGAAAAAGTAGATCACTACGATAACAATAAAAAATTTTGTCAAATGCTTGACAAATAAATATTTTATCTAATTTATTTTCTCTTCTGTACTCGATATTTCTATGAAGTTTCGAGGGAATTTTTATATAATAGTAAAAATATAACCTTTAACCTTAAAGATTAGAAAAAGACTAGTTTATGTTTTATGTGAACGCACATGAGTCACGTGAATCCTAAAACAGATGTTCTTGTTTATGTATAAAGATTAACTTCGGCTGATTCAGATATTTGATATTCAAAAAAAAAAAAATATCTGTAAACTTAGCATAAAAGCTAAAGGCACTGATCGACATGATGTAATAACAAAATTTTTTCTACATCTTATTAAACAGTAATTACGAAGGAACGAATGACACACTACGGACTTGCCACCTTTAGAAGACCGAAAAGCGAAAAATAAGTGGAAAAAAATGGAAAGAATTTTTTCGCTGCGTTTATAATGTAAAAAAACAGCATTTTGAAATCAGCAGATTCAGATAGGTTAATGATTCACTTTACGTAAATAAATTCATTCATTCATTTTATTGATGCACTAATAGAAAATAAAATTTATCAAAAGCGACTCCATTAATCAACAAAAGAAAATAGAAAAAAACTTAAAAAGTGAAAGAAAAGAGCGAAAAAAAGTCTATACATTTCCATCCAGTTTTTAGCATATATAGAATATCTTTCAAAAATTTGTATTAAAAAGTGAGAAATGACAAAAGGTTTTTACTGTAGTAATAGTAGATGAATTTATCGATACGTAGGCGTGTCTCTCTATAATGAAAAATTAAGTTTTCAACATTAGAGGAAAATGATCTCAACTTTCACAATGGAATGATACAAATCTTAATTTGTGTTTATCTTTCTAGAGAATGGACAAGATTTTTATTTTCTGGTACGATGAATAGAAGAATCATTGAACTTGTCTTTCTCTTACTTTCATATAATCTCTTAACTCTAGAGAAGATTGTTTTACGATAGTTAATGTCACTGATAATAACAGAAAACGTTTCTTTCTTCGCCTGTCAGTTATTATATAGCGCATATGATGAACTCAAATAATTATCTTCTGTCTATAGAATCGGTATCTATGTTTGTGCCTATATTATGACGCGTGAAGAGTAGAACAACTTTCTTACTGTGAATAAAACTATATCGATGACGTATTTTGAAAGCAGAGAAGAAACGAGACATTTACAATAAATAAAAAAAAGGGTCCAAAGATTATTTATTTGTTAGTAATTAACATGTAAAAAATCGTTTTCGATAGCTTTTCTGTTCTTTTTTCTTCTGTTCGTTTTGAAAATCGAACAAAAAAATAGACTAATTCTGTGCGCCACACCTAAAAAATCGTGCACAATGCATAGTCTATATATCTATACAATAAGAAAAGAGAAATTTATTTTGTTCGTTTTTTCTCTCGTTCTTTTATTCAAGCACGTGAGTAAATAGCACGCGTGACGTAAATTGATTATCTAATCATGTTTATTAAAGTAGTGGACTACCATTTTTTCGACAATCCTCTTATGTTAATGAAACCACCACTGAAAATTTTTTGAATCAAGACATCAAACAGGACAACGAAACTAATTCTTATGGTATTATCGCGAATCCTTATGAAGCATGAATCAAATAAATATTCAACAACTTAATATACACAAGAATAACAGAGTCGAAAGAATACTGTGGGTGTTAAAACAGCAAGAGAGAAGAAATGAGAGAAAAAAGGTCAAAGTGCCATATATAAAGTTTCATGTATATTCAACTTTTTATCTAGGCCAAAAAACATAAGTTTGTTGATTCATTATTACACTGAATTGAGTGTTTGTAGAATACACTATCACCTCTATTAACATTGAATAACATCGTCAAAATAAACTTTCTTAAAACCCAAACATAGAGTACGTTGAACTCTCTCCTCTGACATGGGCTAATATTGAAAAAATTACCCATAATCCTTATAGATCAATAATATTTTACTCTACACATTCATTTAGTCCACAGGTCTGTTGTTGTTTTAATTCTAATAGATAGTGACTAATAAATAGAACTTGATTTTGTTTCGCTTTTGTCAATAAAAAAGTTGCCTATACAAAAGAGTTTTACGCTTACTAGCATATGTATTGTAAAACTTTATCTGTGATATGTTTTATATTAGAAACTTCACCAATAGCTCTAGTTAACTGATTCTTGATGTATGAAGTATAAGAAAAACTTTATGAATTTAAAAAGAATACATTCTCAAGACATGGGAAACAGTTGGGAGTATCTAAGATTAAATGAAATGGAGTTCAGTTAAAAAAGTAAGGTGATCACGATTCCCATTGTTTTTGATGAGTGTAGGAAAATTTAAACTTCGACAAACAATCACTAGCCTAGAAGAAAAATTTTAATCAGGCGATGACTAGTAGAAAGTTTGGTAGATAGTCTAAAAAAATAGTTTAGAACGACGAATCTCCCATCGTAATTAAAACACACTGAGGATAACAAACAATTTCCTCTCGGTTCATCGATCAGAAATTGTTCATTTTTTAATCAGTTTATTGATCTACTAAAATTTACACGAACACGGAATGTTTTTTGTTGTCAGTTGCATGAATAAAGAGAAGAAAAATAACAATAATAACGAAAGTGAACATCGTCTATTTGATAACAATCGAGTAAAATATTTTCATTCAAGCAAACAAACAAACAAACACACAATAACAAGAACATTATAATAATAAATAAAGAGAATTACAGACGATTCATTCCTAACAAAAAAACTATTATTAACAAGTATAAACTCAACAACCTTTTAAATGAAAGATCACTTTCAGCATACTTTCTTCAAAAATTAATTTATTCTTGAAGAAATGGCCAACAGACAGTATAAACTCGGAAAAGCAAGAAAGGACGGTTATTTAGAACAATAGAAACATCATCTAATGAAGACTATTTGATATAAACTTGGATGAAATTTTAAAAAATGTTCTATAAAAGAGAAAATCTTCTAGAAGTGTAAATAGTATGAATAAGTAACACTAAGCAGAAAACAGAAACATGAGAAGCACAAACAAACCTCAACGCTAAAGAAAAAATGAAAATGAAGAATAAGTACAATGACAGATTTGAAGATCCTACTTGTAGGCTTTTACGTCGCTGCAAGAAAAAACCGATTTATTGGAGACGTTTGCGGAGGTAAAGATTGATCTTTCTACTCAACAGATACTTCAGCCTAGAAATTGTTCTTAGCTTGCTGCGAGAAAATTACGACATATTCTGCATCACAGTACAGTAGTGAAACTTCATTCATCGGTTGTCGAAATGATGGACAAATTCTTGTGGTATGAATACGATGTAAAATATGATGGATAAACAGAAAAAAAGATTTATCATAAATATTGGCTACATATATTCGTTTGACCAAAGGCCATAGATGTAACATTGATATGTAGTGACAAAGTCTATTTTGTTATAAATTTATTCAAAGCTCAACTTTCTTTTTAATCGTATTGTCATCCTCATCATCCATATCAACATCGCTCAAATCAATATCTTCGACAACGTCTAATACACCATCTTTTCCGTCCCACGGTTGACTGTTAACAATTGTTGGCAATTTATTGTCCGCCAATGGTTCAGATGGACTTGATGTTCGTCCAACGGCTAATTCATTCATGAATGAGCCAATACCTTGTTCGCTAAACGCACCTTTCAATACAACATATTTTCCTTTTCTAGAATTAATGGCCACTTGAGCAGGATATCCAAAGCCTCCGATTCCCACCTAGAAAAACACTCAAACAAAAGTAATGGCGTATTCATGTATTCAAAAAGCATAATATTACCGCTTTTTCCAATTGTTCCTGTTTAAATGCTTCAACCCATAACCATCCCCATTGATTGCGTTTATATTTTTCAGCCAAATCTTTTAACATTTTCAGAAGATCATTACGACATTTTGATTGACAATCTAATATATAGGGTAAAAATGATATGATACATAGTTGTTTTTCTTGGCACGTTTTGTCCAAAATATCTTGATTGGTTATTTCCACGATATCTGGTGCGGGTAGATTAGCAACAAATTTATTTAATGCCCATGTGACAATATCCTGAAATTAAAAAGAAAAATCTCAATAAACGCTTTTTTATGATCAGTTTATTCAACTTACGTTTGCCGTACGTCCACCGTCATATTCATCAGCTCGTCCATCTTTTCTTCCAGATGGAAACATTTTTATTGTTGGAAAACCGCGTACTTCATAACGTTGTGCCATTTGAGTATGTACGGTGGCATCTAATGCACCTAGTTTCACTTTACCCTTTAATTCTGTGGCTGCTTTAGCCCATTCTGGTGCTAAATTTTTGCAATCTAAAGAAAGAAAAGTTTAGAACAAGTTGAATCCAATCAGAGTCGTCATTACTTACGTCCACACCATGGTGCACTAAAAATAAGAAAATGAAAGAAAAATCAGTAAAGAACGCCTGATATTTTCAGTAACACAGCTAACTTACTAAAATTCAACGAGCCAAAGATCTTCGGAATTCAATACGGTAGATTCAAAATTGCTGTCTGTAAGTTCAACAACATCTTTCGTGCTGCCGCTTCCACCACTGCCACCACCTCCACTGCTACCACCTCCACGTTTTCCTAATCTATCATTGACTATCTGTCTTAATTGTGTTAATGCTTGTTCAACGATTGCATCAGCCGTACGTCCTCCCTGATAATCTGTTGGTGAACGTTTATTTGTGCCAAATATTTTTATAGTCGGAAACCCAGAAACACCATATTGACCTCCCAAAGATTTATGTTGATCAGCATCAACAGCCCCTACTTTGACAATTCCTTTCAAAGCTGCTGCAGCTTTTTTCCACTAAAACAATATTGAATACTAGTAACGATTTATTGTCATACAAGTGATTACATACTTCAGGCGTTAATGACTGACAGTGTCCACTAAAATAGTTAGAAAATAATAGCTTTAGTCTGTGTGGATTTTTCATGGAAACCATTGATAGTAGCTCCATGAGAAACTAATACTTTAAAGAATAAATGACTACTTACCACCATGGAGCATAGAATTCCACAATCCAAAGATCAGAACTTTGTGTAACTAATCGATCAAAATTCGTTGGATCTAATGTAACAACATCGTCACTTGGACTATAGAAGCTATACACATGAGAATACGATAAACAGATTAACGCTAAAGATAAATATTGAAACATGACTTGGCTTTATAATCTGAAACAAACCAATGTTTCGGAATTTACAAATGAGCACAAGTATTGACGGAAACTAACGGATGAAAGTCATTGTATGATGCATACCATAGTGGATGCACTCGATCGAAGTATTTTTTTATTCTGAAAGAAACTGGCTCACGGATTGTAGAATATATGGATAGTTTTTTGTGAAAGTTCTTGTCAAGTGAAAAATCAAGTACTTACAAGTAATGTAAACTTCTCTCTCAAAAAAATACACGTATTGACTTCATTCTACAAGTATAGTACTGGTCCCAAATACTTGAGCAAGATCCCAATTATAGGTTATCCGACTAAACTAAAATCGAAAACTAGGACTTCTTTTCTTATGCAATATAGTTTGAAAAAAAGTAGCTATGCACCACGTAGCTGAGAAGAAAAAAAAGTGTACTGCTTATTTTGTAGAAATGGACACAGAAAAAAAACGACATTAATCCTAATTCAATTAAAATGAAACTACAGTATTAATGCGTTTACATTTTAGAATAAACGTTAAAAACAGAAAGAAATGATTCTTAAAAATATTACTTAGTAAGAATGTGATGTCGAAAAGACTACAAATGAAACAAACTCTGATTCTACTCATTTCACGTATGATTAATTTCTAATTTCATTTGAACTAATGTAGTATCCACCGCTCTCTCATTGCTGGTATTGACAAAATTAGCGTGGCGCAATCAAATCAAAGAATTGAGCCCTTCCAAATTTCCAACTGTTTTCAACGGTTTATTCATCAATGCACTTTGAATACGGAATCAGAGAAGGTCAGAAATTATTAACTTTTAATTGAGACTAATTAGGAATAAATTTTTGGACGAAAAGACCGAGTTGTGTTCGTACAAATTACATATTATAATTGATATACACATAATGCACTTGCATGGACTACTGTGATGATGCAGTCAGTCAAGCCGGAATGGATGGAATCTGGACTGGTATATAGTCGCAGCTAGTAAGGGCTAATCGAATCATTATCAGCAGATTCCCATACAATTTTGAGTTTTTTATGGCACAACTTTATTGGATGAAAGTTTACGGATTAAATGGGATTTAACTTTTTGTTTTCATTTTTTATTTTTCGGTTCTGCTAATAGTACCGAAATATTCATAATAACGCCCTCTATAATGTAAAATAGTGAATTTCTCTGTATTTGTAGCAGAGTCGAGAAAAATGAAAACAAAAAGTTAACTCACATTTCATCCTTGTTTAATTCTAAAACTTCCATCTAATGAAGTTGTGCCATAAAAAATCGAAAATAGTACACGAAATAAGTAGATTTATTCCATCTGTGATCACAGCAAACCTGCTAGGGTTGAGTTCAGGCTTAAATTCAGCCTTAGAATAGCTAAATTAGTCGTAAGTTCAAAACATAAGAAGCTGAGTTTTTTGCTGCGGATACAAATTAATTGAGAGACGTTGCTACTGTTAAACGTCCAACTAAGGATCTATAAATCTGTTAGTTTAAAGTAGAGGCTGAGTTTTCTTCTACACAAGTTGCCATGCAATCAAACAGAGAGATTAGAAAATCTTTTTCTGTCCCATCCATTTTTAGACTTCCATTCATTCGAGATAAGTTGTCTCATTTATGCTTTTGCATAATTTATAAACGTGGTCTTAACTGTATTTTGTCCATCTGTTCAATGATAAAGATATTTTTTGACAATATACCGTTTATTGATTCATGAAAGATAAACTCAGTTGCTTAGACCAATTTTTTCTCTCAGAGCGATGTGTCATAAGGATATTGTTATCTGATTCAAATCAATCACAATCACAATTTTACCAGATGTTTACACTATTTATATTCTTTACTCGCACTATGAGTGCGGTGCTTATTGTTCATATGAGCTGGAGGACATAAGTTCATATTAACACATCAATATGAGTGGTTAATCGTCAATAAATATGTTCATTTGTGAATTTGTTTAAAACAACGCTTGATCTAAGAACTGCACAAAAACCAACACTTTCTAAAAGAGATTTTCTACAAATTCTCAGAAAACTCTTACATTTTTCTCTAGATATTTTGTTTATTTAATACCAATCGAAGAAGCTCAGTATTAGGTTCATTTTCTCACGTTTTTTCATCTATATTTTAGATCATCTTTTTAGCACAAAGCAATGAATAAATCAGTATCTGTGCTTGGTAATGTTCTTTGGAGCGTTGCTCCAAAACTCGTACGATACACATCATCGACTCGAGACGCAGGCTCATTTACGGTAAATTTTTTAATTTTTTTACAACAAATTGGCTAAGTTTGTCAAATTTCTGATGCTTATAGAGAAAAGTTGCCGTTTTGGGTGCATCCGGTGGTATTGGACAACCTCTTTCATTATTGCTCAAATTAAGCCCGTTGATTAGTGATTTATCATTGTATGATATTCAACATACGAAAGGTGTTGGAGCCGATCTTAGTCATATTGAAACACGAGCCAAAGTGAAAGCATACGTCGGTCAAGAACAGTTAGCTGATGCATTAAAAGGAATGGAATTAGTTTTAATACCAGCTGGTGTGCCAAGAAAACCAGGTATAATAAATAAAAAAAAATCGAAGATTAGGAAACGACAAACAATTTTTTATTGTTTCTTTTAGGTATGACCAGAGACGATTTATTCAATACAAATGCAACAATCGTCGCCGATCTTGTTTCATCATGTGCTAAGAATTGCCCACGAGCATTGATAGCTATTATTGCAAATCCGGTAAACTATTTTATAAGTCCAACCTTAAACATGTTAATGACGAATGTTCGCCTGTTTATTGTCTAGGTTAATTCAACTGTCCCAATTGCTGCCGAAATAATGAAGCACCATGGTGTGTATGACGAAAAGAAAGTTATTGGTGTAACGACTTTGGATGTTGTTCGTGCAGCTACATTTGTTGCTGAAGCCAAAGTAAACGAATCTAGGCAACTCAAGTAAAGCCTCTATTTCATCTTTTTTTCGTAGGGTTTAGATCCAACACGTGTTTTTGTACCAGTAATTGGTGGACATTCAGGCAACACCATTATTCCATTATTATCACAATTATCGCCTCCTGTTTCATTTTCGAAGGTGAGCACTCGTCTCTAAAATCATAAAAGTTAAGCAATTTGAGAGCAACAATAGAACTATTCATTTCATTTATAGTTTTTGAATATTCTAATAGATTTATTTTCAATTTTATTCTGAAAGAATAAATTGATTGATCGTTTTATCAGCAACGTTATATTCCCAAAATATATATACTCTTCCACTAAAATAAAAATATTACTTTAATAAGAGACCTTATTATGTTAAACAATTATACATGATGAACCGTTTCGTAAAGGCGCTAGGCGAAGAATAGAATTTCAGATTTAAGTTGCTGAAGATATGCTAAAATCTGTTGTTTGTTTTAGCAAGAGTTAGATAGTTTAACAAAACGCATTCAAAATGCTGGTACCGAAGTTGTCGAAGCAAAAGCTGGCACGGGTTCGGCGACGTTATCAATGGCTCATGCTGCTGCACGATTTACATTTTCAGTACTAGAAGCATTAGGTGGAAAAGAAGGCGTTGTTGAATGCGGTTATATATTATCAAAAGAAACTGAATTTAAATATTTTGCAACACCATTGTCATTTACTGTAAGTTGTGTCTCAATCATTTGATAACGTGTTCATTTCTAATTTGATTTATTTTTTATTTATTTAGCGTAATGGTGTTGAACGTTCGCACGGTATTGGAAAATTATCAGAGTATGAAACAAAGCTAATGGAAGAAGCAAAATCTGAATTGAATAGTAATATTAAAAAAGGAGAAGAATTTGCTAAAGCGTATCTACAGAAGCAAAAGAAATGAAAACTTCAGCTTAAATATCTTACTGTTTCCACTTGTTCATCAACGTCGCCATCATAAGAAATTACTTTTGATATAGAACTAGTATATATAAAACGTCATAACAAACAGACATACACACACTTTTTATTCTACCTTTTTTATCTTCACATGTTCCTCTTTATCTTGAATCTGTATTTCGCTCTTTTATTTGTTGCCATTTACACTACCACACTTGCAGAACCATGGCATGTAGTTCAGTAATTAAGTTATTTTTCTCCGAAGATTGAAAATAGAAAATTTTATCTCTTTTGTCTTTTTGTAATTTTCTCAGAAAATAGCTATATTTTGTCAGTGTTTTCCTTGGAGAAAAATAAATGACAAAAATGTATTATTTTGACTCACAGATGAAAGTTCTTGATTTTTAACGGTAGTGTGTACATTTTTATATAGAATATGAGATTTTTACTGATTTCTCAAACATTCAGAATATCTTTTTTTAAATTTTTGTGTTGGATGTCTTTCAGATACAATCTTCTCACACTTGACATAACCTAAAAATATTAAACATGGTTCGTTTAAATGTTGATCAGATGAATCGTTATGTTAGTCCAGTGAATCCAGCTGCTTATCCAACATTAAGTATCATATTACTTGGTATGCTCGATCATTTCTTCTCTTCATAATACTTATCTGTGTTTATTTATTATTTCAGGCATCGGTTTATTTGTTATGTCATGGTTCTTTGTTTATGAGACAACGTCAAGTAAATACAATCGCGATTTCAAAAAAGAAATATTAATCGCCTTGTGAGTATTTATTTGACAAAATCATAGATAGAATATTTATTTTCAAATATCTGTTTGTCTTTTTTAGAGTAGCCTCAATATTTCTTGGATTCGGTGGTTTATTTCTATTGTTATGGGTGGGTATTTATGTATGATATTTCGACAACATGCTCGCATGTTTGTTCTTCATACAAGGCTGGCTTTTATTAAAGAGAATTGTTAGGTTGTTGTTTTATGTTTTTCATTGTTGTCATTGTTGGTTTTTTGTTTTAAATACTTGACTTGATTTAGTTTGTTTGATTCTAAAAATAAATTTATTATCCAACATATTGACTTTTTTTATTGGATCTTGTCAGATATTAGCGATGTTCTGGGTGATTGAATACCGATACAAGTCCTCATTTTTTTTTGTTTTCCAGATAATCCTACTTTTTATTCACATTATTGTGAATGGCAATGGTTTTAAAACATCATCTTGTTATTTTCTCAACCTGTTGAATAGTCTGCTATGAAACATTTCAAAAGGTAAGGATCATTTCGTTTCTAGCTGCACTATTAATTGCTCTGTCTCGTGTTCATTTGTACGTGTCTAAAAATTGTCAGTTGTACATGTTTTTCTTTGATTTGTACGTGTATAAAAGTGACTATTTTTTGTTCTAATCAGTAGTCAATTTTTCCACTTACGAATAAGATGTTTCTTATTAAAAGAACGATAGTTGAATTATTTTCATTGCATTGATGTTGTATTTTTATAGAGTTTTGTCAAAAAACTACGTTTGCAGCAGATATTCTGTACAAATTTCCGCGAAGGCGTCATCTTTCACGACAAAAACTTTTTCTGCATGAGGTTTCACAGTTTTTCTTTTAAACACTTTGAGGCAGATTCTAGACGCCTCTATGCTAGCAAAAAAGGAATCGGGATCAATGTTTCAGTGCATGGATTATCCAATTTTAGTTAATTTTTCTCTAAACGGTAAGTTCGCATCCCTTGGTTTGTGAATGACTTACACTAATCGACTGCGAATTTTCGAAAGTTTGAAAATAGATGGATGAATTTTGAGATCAGGAACATTTTTATAGTATTAGATATGCAACTAATTGATTTCAGTGCTCGATTTGGTAGCAGATTATTGTCTGTTAGAGGCTAGTATTTTCGGCCATTGTTTGAACATATGCGCATTAAGAATTTAACGAACGTACATGTACACAGTGTGGTTTTGATAACTTAGCAATTTTCGAGAATGTTACGAGAAAATGAAAATTTCACCCTAAAAGTGTGAGTGTCACGTCTGTACAAGTGATATTTTCCCATATTAACCAATGGGATCGTTTATTTCGTTTTATAGTTATGGGATGTATAGGGTCAAATGTTATGAGTGAAAGTCAAAAACCTATAGCCTAGTTTTTGATTTTTATGCCGAAACTATTTTGCAAGCAATAAAAAGACGTGTTATGATCTTCATAATTGATATGTTGTAGAATGTGAAGTTTCTAGATAATATTCATCTGTACAATACTCCTTTTTGAACATATATATTGTTTTCAGTTTTTCAAACGTTTGTTCATTTCTTGCTTTTTTACAGCAGTAATTTGAACTTATTGTATGTATTTAGAAAACAATTTTGACGCATCGTTTGTCACACTCTTTTCTGGTGGACTTTTCTAGTGTGTCAACCGAAAAAGAGTCGAATGTTTGATTTATTTACACATGAACATCATAAAAAGATTAAACAGTATTTCACTTTTTTTTCCTTCTTACACTCTTTTTTCTCGAAGAGAGAACGTAGTATAAGCTTTATTTACAGTTTGTACTTGGTTGTATGTCAACCCACAAGTGTGAGATCAGCTGATTATTTTTTTCTTCTCTCTCTCTTACTTTGTTTTTTGTTTCGTAATGGTGATACTTGTGGCATTTATTAACATACAGCTCTGTAAATAAAAACATCTGATAAATAGGCATAATAAGCATACACTTTATGCGTGATCGTAGTTTACATGAGATTGCTTTACATGTCTAATCAATCGAAGAGAAGAAGCAAAAAAAAAATTTCATTCTCATCATCATTAAAGAAAGAAAAAAGGTAACTCGGTGCTTTTTTTATTCGTATTGTACGTTACTACAACTAAGAATTATTTATTCAACAGTATTTTTAATAAGTAAATAGGGAGAGAAGCTTTACTTCTTAAAAGTTATTTATTTGAAATATGATAGTATTTTTTTCATATGTCATCTATAACAAAAATGAGTTATTTTGTGAAGTAGTGTGAGTCATGCTGTGAGTACGTGTACTTTCGCTCAAGTCAACTCACATTATAGAATAGAATCAAATCTTTATATTCAACATTTTTCCAATGAGAATATAATTCAGTTTTTACAACTAAGAGCAATGTTTAGAATTATCTAATAAAATTATTAAAGATAATCATAAATTATTTTAAAACTAAAAGTGTATCTGAAAGAAAACATTTATATAAAATAAAAATATATTTGATGATTGTTTTCATGTCTAAAATCGATTTTCTTTAATCTGATTCATTAATATCATGATTCTCTCATATTATCAAACATCATAATTGTTTGTATTTATATATTTTCTTGATAATTATTTGTTTATCATATCGAGAAAAAATTTAGAATAGAAATAAAAATCATGTATTAAATGGTGTATGTTTTGTATTATTATTTTGTTTCTTTATTATACTATGCTACAGCTGAAGATGAAAACAATATGTTGTTCATAGAGCATTAGTTTAATCATGCAACGTCTCTCTGTGTCAGTCATCGTATATGCTTATTATAAAAAGAAAAATGAATTGTTCTGTTTTTTATTTGTGACCTACGATGATAAAAAAGGTCATATGAAAATATGATAAATTTTTTTTTTTTCTTTCATTAACTACGAATAACATGGATAAAAATCTCATAGCTTCTATACAATAGAAGCTATATTTTATGTATCTATCATCATAGTTCAGTAGTAGACTAGAGAGAAACACTTGCTAAAAACTTTAAAAATAGTAGACATTGAGTATATCTACTGTTTTTGCATTTAAAACTCATATTTTGTAAATTTTCTATTCTATTTTATATTTTGTTAAAAATCAAAAAGGAAATAAATGAAAAGTATCATATGTGTATGTCATTATGTCTTTTTCCTGTATTTTCTTTACTTTCTTTTTCTTTATGTACGCCCTCACAATGGCTGAGTGACTGACTTATTGGTCTTATAATTGTGAACTATTAATATAAAATATGTCTATAAGAGCAACTATTTTTATTGTGGTCTAGTTTAAATGTCTACATGTCGTTCTGGTCGACCTATTTATTCTATAATATGTAACTTTAAATATTTTTATTAATTAAAATATATAACAAAAATTGAAAAATATATAAGAAATTGTATCATTATCTCATATGTTTGTCGCAAAATTTTTGTTGATACGTTGTATTATGATGATATATTGTAAATAGTGTATTAAAATATTGAGATGTTCGATATACACATGAGAGTATTGAGAAAAAGAAAAGAAAGAAACCCAATGTTGTCTTCATATAGCTTTTTTTCTTCTTCGTATTTATTATTAAATACGCATACATTCACAGAGTGATAAAATGATTTTGACCTTGTTATTAGTACCGGTTTTCTAAGGATTGAGAACATAACGACTTAAATATATAACAATAATTCAAATTGATTTATATGTATGCCTTTTAATTGACCACACCTGAGTATAAAAAAATATTAAAAATGAGAAGTGTAGCTACTATTTTCATTCATTTTTACTTTAGTTTTTTTTTGTTTTTCTAGTAATTTTCTAGTGTGTATATTTATTCGTTCTTCATCATATCGATGATATATATGTTGATTAATTAAATTGTTATACAATGCCTGAAATAATTGGAGATTATCAATATAGTAAACGGGATCTAATTGGCCATGGAGCATTTGCTATTGTTTTTCTTGGTCGTTCAACAATTGTATGTACTATAAATGAGCAATAGTGTATTGAAATTTATCATTTATTTTTTTTTTGTTTTTATTCAGAATCCCGAACAACAAGTAGCCATTAAACAAATTACAAAAAAAAGTTTGGCAAAATCACAAAGTCTATTGGAAAAGGAAATCAGAATATTAAAAGTATATACGTATTAATGTGAAACTTGACTTAAATTATTATATTTAGTAATTTTACAACTGCTATTTCTGTTACTAGAGACTCAGACAGAATTAATTT